CAACACTGGAAATTTTTAAGAAGATGTTGGATAACCATTTGTCTGAAGTGGTATAGAGTTTCCTGCCTGGGCAGGGGCTTGGACTAGAAGACCTCCAAGTTCCCTTCCAACTCTGTTATTCTATTCTACCTTCACGTGCTTTGAAAAATAGGTTGACTCCCTCTTCTTTGTGGTAGCCCTTAAATATTGGAACACTGCTATCATATCACCCCGGTCCTTCTTTTCATTAAACTAGACATACCTAATTCCTGCAACCATTATTCATATAAACCATTTTCATACGTTTAGTCCCCTAATCATCTTTGGTGCTCTTCTCTTCACTCTTTCTAGAGTCCTCAACCTCCTTTTTATATTGTGATGACCAAAACTGAGTACAATATTGCAAGTGTGGTTTTACCAGTGATCTTGATTCTAAAAAGAGGAAAGCAGTAGGATTTTTCTTGCATTGCTCCTTGCAGTTAGTGTTTAAGTTATGTACTTGATTCCAGAAAAAAGTGCCTAGGTATCAGGACTAGCCACCATGAATAACACTATTGTTTATGGATTAGTATTGTAAGCTGACCAGAGGTAAGATGGGCAGCCAGTATTTTTTATAAGTAAATAAAAATATTTTTAACAAAAATTTCAATTTAGGATGAGAGCAAATTCCACAATTTATTAAATAGTTATTGAATAAATTAATACTTCTTTTTATTGACCTTGAAGATATTGGTTTAAAGACATTGCTTCTTGCAATCCTAACTTGACTTTACTGAAAAGTTTGATTTAAATTTCTCATTTTTAATTCCAGGATGCTTTAAAATTAATTTAAATGTACTCCCATTGTGAAATCCTAAGGAAAAATCATTCCTTTTTACTTCTTTTATTTAAAAAATAGTTTCTAGTTCATAAGCACACATGACTATTGAATTTCCTTACATATCTTTTGTTAGAGGCTTTGTAAAAGAAAATAAATTTAATAAATAATAATAAAATAAAATAAATAAAAGCTGATGTATACAGTGCCTATTAACCATTTCAGTCTGTCTAATAAACAATGCCTGAAAAATCTCGCAGGAAGATAGGACTTCTGTTGCTGATCTGTCTGATCGTAACTGCTATTTTGAAAAAAAGTGTAGAATACAACCCTAAAATAGCTGAAGTTTAGTTATACAGCTATGCCTAGTTTTAATATATTTAATGTTTAAGTAAATAGCAGCTTACTAATAAAACATTTCTAATTCAATTGAATTAGGATAACATTATAAAAGAAACTTAATTTAATTTCAACTACAAAAATGCAGACTTGGTCAATTTCCTTGCCAACTTAGAATACATAACAAAAACAAACAAACTTGACCAGGGAACACAAGAGGACCTCAGACAGGGAATCATTCCTAACATCCAACGAAACAGACAAGACAGAACACTCAAGAGGAGAAGAAGACATTAAAGAAATTGAGAAAAGATAGAGACATTGTCATCCTACCAGCAGACAAAAGCAGACTAACTGTGGTAATGGACAAAACTGATTACAGCAAAAATGCGGAAAATTTACTTAATGACACTAACATCTACCAGGTAATCAACAAAGACCCAACAAAACAATTAGAGAATGGAATAAGAAACACCTTAATAAAAATGGAAAAAGAAAAACTGTCAGGCCTGGAAGCCATCTTTTGTATTAGGCCTTCAAACCTGTCACGTTTACTACGTGGGAAACTGGGAGGGAAGATTGTGTGGAGTATGGATGATATATAGTCATAATAACATTCCTTTCTCAAGAAGTCAAGGACAACTTGTCCTGCACCTGGTAGGCACCTCCAGTTGGGATGATGTCTGATTGGACCATGTGATAGACTTGTGGGTGTTGGGCAGGGACTTGAAGTTTTGTTTGGGTGGGGAAAACCTGGAAACTTTTCAGATTTGGGTTTCCCCAGATGTGCCAATATGACATCTCTAATAAAACGTAACTTTGAGGAAACTCAAACCTCAGAGCTTTCTTTCAGTGGGGGTGTTACTTGGAACCCTGACAAAAACAACTAACTAACTTCAACAGAAATAAAACTTTTACTACCACAAGATTCCACTACACCCACATTCTATGAATTTCCCAAAATACACAGAAATGAAATTCCCCTCTGCCCATAGTGGCACTACCTGGTGCACCAACCTACAAACTAGCAAAAGCTTTAAGAAAAAGACTTCAACGTCTCGTCAACAATTCGGCTTATTCTATGAGCAATTCCTTTAATTAATTAGAAACAACAAAATAAATGAAGAAGAAATAATGGTCTCATTTGACGTGACTGCATTATTCACATCTATCACTATTGACTTGGCCAAACAACTCATCTATGATTTACTCACAGAAAATCAAAGCCGTAACTAACACTCCATATCCACCCATGCTACCATGAAACTTCTGGAGTTATGCCTCATAACACACTTCAAATTCAATGGCAAAATCTATCAACAAATACAAGGCACGCCTATGGGATTACCTATATCTGTATATAGTATTATATAATATGTAATAGCAGAAGCAATAATGCAGAAACTTGAATGCACAGTGCTGCCAACCATCCAGCCAAAATTTTGGGTACATTATGTGGATGACACTTTTGCCATCCTCAAATGCACCAGACTAGAAGAGACACATCATCTACTCAACAAGGTATTTACTGGGATCAGTTTTACATGTGAGAAAGAAAAAGAACGACTAGATATTGACATAAGGAGACCTGATAACAGCAAACTAACAACCTGCATATACTGAAAATCCACACACACAGAGACCAAATTTCTAAATTTCACAAGCAACCACCCCACTACACACAAGAAGAGCTGCATCCAGACCCTTTTCAAATGAGCCAAAACACTGCAGAACCAAGTTATTAAGAAAAGCAGAAGAGAAACCCCTTTTCAATGTTTTCCTCTGCAATGGCTATCCCAAAAATTTCATAATACGTTCTTTGACATCCAAACCCCAACAAAATACACAACCAACCACAACACAAAAAAAAGTCCTGCCATACATCAAAGGAACATCCAAAATGGCTGCCAGAATACTGCAACCCCTAGGAATAATGATAACTCACAAACCCACATTTACGCTCAGAAAAGAGCTATCTAAAGTCAAAGGCAAACTACAAAAGGAAGACAACAGCAAGATTGTATACAAATTCAGTTGCAATGATTGTAACCAATTCTATGTGGGACAACCTTGAAGGCAATTGAAAACAAAGAGTTGATGAACATCAAGTAGCAGTTAAACTGCATGACCAAAAATCCCTGATCTCAACCTACATTGATAATAAACAACACCAGTTAGATTGGGAAGGAACAAAAATCATTGACCATGCTAGCAGTCACCACACATGTGATTTTATTCAGACCCAGTATTCTTACAAAGGAGCAATTAACAAGCATAATGATCTAGATGCAACATGAATATTTCAGAAACCAGACCATTCAAACAACCAATCAACAAGAGAACCAATCAGCTGCTCATACTGGTACACAAGACATTTGTAAGCTAAAGAGGAATAGGACAAGAAAATCCTGCTGATAATGTTACCTAGTCTGGTAACGAAACATTCAGAAACTAAATTGAAACAAGCTTGGAGAGCAAACCACTGCCAAAATCTAAAACCTGAGCTACAAGTATTTTCTATTTCTTTAGTTTGTGCCCAAATTGGGAAACTATTAATTCACATCTCTTCAATGCAAATCAGATAATTATTTATGCTTAGGCATAACTAGATAGACCAGTCTCAGTCCCTCAGATAATTAGCTAACAATTAAAAATATAATCCAGAAAGTCCCCTATCCTTTTTCTTAGCTTTCTTTTGGGGCTTTTAGAAATTTGCATTTTGGCATGAAGGCTTCATAAGAAAAGAAATTAAAACACTATTTTATGGGCCTATGTTAATATGAAGAGAGATATACTTATTTAGATTGAAAGGTAATTGTATGAAAATCACATTTGGGGATTACTTACCTTATTCTGTGTTGTGGGCATAATTATTTACCAATGAGGGCAGGAACAATATCTGCTGGGATAGATGTGTTTGTATGGATTTTTTTTTTTTTTATGTTTAGTGTTATGAATGGGGGAGGGAGGGGAATGTATGGTTTTTGTTTGTATGTATAAACAATGTTTTTGTCTTGTGTTGATTATAATTTGGAAAAATTAATAAAATTTATTTTAAAAAAAAGAAAAGAAATTAAAACACTATGACCCCCTTACAATTAACTTCTGTTTCCTAATTATTTATATTTTCAGGTAATCCCATTATACCTAATCTTTGGGTGGATATAGTGAAAATCAGTTCAATTATTCAATTTCTTGAACAATTATTATTCAAAAGTATCTTGGTAGTATTTATTTATTCAATTTATATCACTATCCATCTATCAGAAACACTGGATGGTGAACAAAATAAAAGCATAACATTAAAGCCAAAAAGAAACAAAATGAAGACCACAGTAGAATTTCTACTTATCATATACATTCATGCCAGAGGTCCAATAACAAACACCCTCCTGTACTTAGGTATTTACTACTATAGCAAGATTTTTTTTAAAAAAAGCAAAAAGAATTTGCAGTATGTTACAATAATATCAATGTTTAAAATTATTTGCATTTGGCATCATTTAAAGAAGGCTAGATTTTCAATACTCATGTTTCTGAATAGTATGATAAGGTGAATCCTTCTGCCATCTGTTATAGCGTGTTGGTATTAACTATGATGCTGTGAGTTTCCAAGCCACTGAAATAATGCTACTGACTGTTGCTGGCCACGATATGAGAAACATTTTGTAATGTGCTGCTACAGGTCACAAAAGTTTGTAACAGAATACCATATATTGCCTTGCGATATGGCCTCTTAGTTATACTTCGTTTGTTTGCTTGTCAAATTTAGATACTGCCTCTCTCACCTTTGGAGATTATAATATCAATTATACTATTTCTTATATGTTAATTTATGCTTAATTTTAAAATCATGTTTTAACAGGAAAATGCTCCAGATATGGTTTACTTGGGTTCTATGACTAATTTTGACTTCGCTTATGCATGGACTCAGGACAAATGTGTTCCTCTTGTTCGTGAAATTACATTTGAAAATGGAGAGGTAAAGACTATCTAGTTATTCAGGCCTTTTATTTAAGGGATAAATGGTTGCAAATGAAATTAATTTAGTTCAAAATTAAGTATCAAATGTCTTTCATTACTTTATAAAGCAACTTGCTTTAACCCTTTAGGAGGATAAACCAACCCTAGAATTTTTAACCAAAGTATTATTAAAAAAATTTGCTACCCACAGATAAACTAATTCTCAAACATTTTGTATATTTTTTCCCTATATCCTGAATGACTTCATTTATTTTCATATTTTGTACCAATAAAGTATACTACCAGAACAGATTATATTTTAAATTTTCATAAATGGGCTTAAGCATTGGTGGCATATTTTTCAAGAAATTTTATTTGACTTATCTGTGAATATATACTGATACTATAAAAATATATTACTGAATATACTCACAGATATGCCCATCCATGGATAAATCAAACCCAATCTTTGTGTATTTTGGAACCTAAAATTCTAAGTTTATCCACACATATATAGAGTATTTATGCATTCCCAGAATATCCTTCCCTACCTAAGTTGTCAACTAATAAAAATTACAGTGTGAGCTTCAAAATAGAAAATTCCTTCTCAGAAGTAGGTAGATAAAAGTATTGAGCAATATGATGATGATGATCTCTATGAGATGATGTTTATTATATCTGGATATCCTGTGTGAATGCTTGTTACCCATACAGATAGAACGGCTGCTTTAGACCTGTTTGAGCAGCAGTATAAATGCTGAACAAAATGCAGAACCCTAAATGTTCTTTATTTGATTTTTACAATGTAAAAGATATGCACCAGTTATGATTATATTTTTAGTATTTTTCAGAATTTCAGACATCAAAAACATATATTTCTTTTTGTATCTGATATTCTGTATTTGTTACAACAATCTTTCATTTCTGTGAGAGGGGAAGGAAAAAAATATCAAGCAATTTGTGTAAGCAATCTCCCCCCTTGCGATGTAGAGATCAGAGAGGTCAACTTATACTGACTGTAATGGTGATTACATGGCTAAGGACACTAAAAAATTGTGAATTCCTGAATTGGTTGTAAAGGGGTTTTTTTCCAGGACTGTCATAACTTCGAGTTCTCACTGAATTCGGCATTCTATAAATGAGAACTATAAGAATTTGGGGGATCAATTTGAAATATTTTTTTCATTTGGGAAGGGATTTACGAGTGAATAGGAGAGTGATATTCCTACTGCCTATGCATTTTGAGAATATCTATACAGGTAATCCTCAACATAACAACTATAATTGGGACTGGGAATTGAGCCATAAGTAGTAAGTCATTACTGCTGTAAATGAAGGCACCTATGTGACCAGAAATAATTTCATGCTTTTGTTTTGTGATGGTCATTAAGGGAATCCGTTCATTTAAATGGGCAGTTCTGTTGGAAACTGGAAAAAATAATTACAAATCACAGTCATGGGATTGTGGAACACTGGCCAGTCATAAAGCTGATCTGCCCAACATACAATTACACGACTGTGGAGTGTGTGTGTGACCATTAATGATGGCCGGGGTGCCCTACAAGCCGTAAAGCACCCATTCCGTTGCCAACATAACTTCAAAGAGTGGTTCCTAGTTCACCCCCTCCTCAAATAGCCATTGCTTGATCCCACCTGCCCAAATTCCCACCTTCCTTTTTTAGAGAAAGTGGTAGAAAAGGTACTTGCTTGGCAGCTTCAGAGAGTTCTAGATTATTTGAATCCCTTTCAGTCAGTATTCAGTATTCTGGCCTGGTTATGGGACAGAAACAGCATTTGTCACACTTATAGATGATCTCTGGCAAGAGCAGGATTGGAGTAGTGCAACCATCCTTGCTCTCCTTGACCTCTCAGCAGCCTTCAATAGCATCGACTATGGTTGTACCCAAATAATGCTGTTGCTGCCATCTTACAGTGCCTGGAGGCTTTTGGGGTCTGGATGGGGGACAACAGGCTTTGGCTGAACCCTGGCAAGACCAAATGGCTTTTGGTGCATGAAGCTTCAATATCCGGGACTTTAGACCAATTTGGATGGGATTGCACTATCTCGGACAGACCCAGTCTGCAACTTGGTGGTTCTTCTGGACTTGCAACTCCAGCTCGAAGAGCAGAGGGCAGTCGCAGCTAGGAGATCTTTTGCACAACTTTGGGTTGTGCACCAGTTGTGGCCTTTCCTGGATCAGGAATCCTGTGCTCAGTCATTCAAGTCCTGGTCACCCCATCTTGGACTACTGCAATGTACTATACATGGGGCTGTCTTTGAAAAGCATTCGGAAGCTTTAACTGGTGCAGAGTGCGGTGGCATGAGCAATCTTTGCAGCTCCTAGATTGGCCCATGTTACACTGTTCTGCGAGTTTCACTGGCTGCCATTTTGCTTCCATGTGCAATTCAAGGTGTTGGTTATTATCTATAAAGACCTACATGGCATGGGTCCAGGTTACTTGAAGAACTATCTCATTCCTGTTTGAGGAGCCCCATCGGTACTGGCAGAGGAGGCATGCTTCAGATCCTGTTAGTCAAGGAATTGACTGTCCAGGAGAAGAGCCTTCTCTGCTGCAGCCCCACCCCTTTAGAACATCTTGCTCTCTGAGGTGAGACTGGCTCCCATTCTTCATGAGCCTGAAGACCTGGCTCTGTCAGTTGGCTTGGGGATCTAATGAGGGAGTACCACACTAGAGGAAATTGATCAACTAACAGCAACTCCCACTTCCTCCCCATAGTACATTCTGCTCTCTTCCTCTCCATCTTTGAGTATAAAGAGTATAAAGTGTTTGAGTTATTACCTGTATTTTTATTGCAAATTTATTGTGATTTTATACATTACATTTACATATAAATTTATGGTTTTGTTTTGATATTGTAAGCCGCCCAGAGTCACCGAGATGGGTAAAAACAAATTTAATAAATGAATAACATGACTAGTTGTAGGTTGAGGATTACTTCTGTATCAAGTAGGATATATAATTTTGTTTTTTTGAGGGAATTAACATTAAACATTAATAAATATATAGAATTATTTTTGTTAAATCCTTTCAGGAATTTTGAACTAATTGTTTATTTCTTTTGAATTATTGAGTAGAAAAACTTTTGATTAAATTGGGAGATACTGTGTTAATTTCTGATTTATCCATCGTAATGTAATTTCTTATTAAAAGTATATGAGTACACAGCTAAAATATTAACTAAAAGCTAGTAGAAAACTGATAGTCTATTAATATTTTTCTTTCTACATAGGAATTGACAGAAGAGGGTCTTCCTTTCCTTATACTCTTTCATATGAAAGATGATTCAGAAAGTTTAGAAAGATTCCAGCAGGAAGTTGCACGACAGTTAATAAGTGAAAAAGGTAGTTGTTTGCTGTAATTATGTATAGATATATAGATATATGTATATTGTATTTTGTCTTATAATTTAATGAATTAGGTATTAGGCTAAGTTGACAAAATTGTTAGTTTTCTCCTATGCACAAGAAATTGATATTGTGTTTTCTTATTATTTAATATAACAGCTTAATACTCTTACTACTGAAAAATTAAGGCTTATTCTTGTGCACATTTTTTTGGAAAGTCAGCTATTTCAACCTGCTAACTTTTTAAAAGTTTTCTGAAGATTTAGTTCTAAATCAATCAATACTCCTAAAATTAAACTGTTTTTCCTGAAACATCATCTTTAACCTATTTATGTTAATACAAAATGATCTTATCAACACCTTTTGTATATTCAAAATACTTTTACCCCAAGCTAGATATTTACATATATTGTGGTGATTTACCTATATGTTCTAATATTACATTCTCTAAAAATCCTAAAATTTGCTTCTGAATTTCAAGGTACAATAAACTTTTTACATGCTGATTGCGACAAGTTCAGACATCCTTTGCTCCACATTCAGAAGAGTCCAGCAGATTGTCCTGTTATTGCTATTGATAGTTTTAGACATATGTATGTTTTTTCAGACTTCAGTGATTTGGCGTGAGTACATGTTTCCTTTCATCTTGGTCATATAAAGTTAGAAAGGAAGGGAGGGGGTAAAAACCTTTTTGTATTGAGTTGTATCATAAAAATTAAGTCTAGAGAACATTTTTTTCATAGAAAGATTTCCTTGGAGTAAAGTTTTGAAGGATTTGGTGATAGTGGGGATTGGGGCAGAATTACTGCATACTTACTGTATTTACATATACTGCTTATATACTTCAGCTCATCCTTACTACTTTTAAGGAGAGGAAATAACTAAATGTGGATGGTAATAATCTATCTTTTATAGAATTATTTATTGATTTATTGGATTTATTTCTGCTGCAATAAAGGAGATTCTCAGCAACTTCCATCAATTTAAAGTAATAAAATGTCTACTCTAAAATTAAAAAAAACATAATATACAAATGTTAACATGAGTAGCGCTGTAATTGATGGTATCAATTCATGTTTTAAATACTTTATGAGAAGCTTAATTTTTAACAGCTTACAGAAAACCAACCCTGCAGGGGCAGACTGTTGCTAAGTGCAGACACTCCAATTGTAAAACAGTGCTTGTGAGCCCCATTCCTTTCACTTTATAGAAATGTGTAACATTACAAGGCTCTATGTTTCAGGTGGTTGAGGATAATCTGTTTGTTTGTTTCATTATATTTATACAGCCACCCATCTCACAAAACATGATTCTGCGCAGCGTACAATAAAAACAAGCCATAAAATAAACATTATTTTTAAAATTCTGTAATTAAAAACAAAAATTAGTATTACTCTTAACAGAAGTTGTAATAGAAGGTTTGATGTTATAGACAATGTAGCCATCTCACCTCAGGAGTAGTGGTTAGAATGCAGTACTGAAGGCTAACTCTGCATTCCCACTGCCAACTGGGAACTGATTCTGACTGATTCAAGGTTGACTCAGCCTTCCATTTTTCCAAGGTTGGTAAAATGAAGACCCAGATTATTGGGGGCAATATGCTGACATTGTAAACTGCTTAGAGAGGGCTGTAAAGCTCTATGAAATGATATATAAGTCTACTTACTATTGCTAATTGGACACTTCCTGAAGCTAATCAAACCTGTTGACCCAACCATGTTTTGAGGGACTTTTGGAAAGATGTTAAGCATGGAGCCACTCTCACCAGAGGGGGAGCATGCTAGAAATGGCCTGCCTCCTGGATCCACCAGATGTAATTCTTTTGTACACAAGACCCATAACATACCTCTTCTGCCAGACCTGGTGGGATGGGATGATGTAATTGGGGAGCCAGGTGAAGATGAGTCGGTTACCAAACACATTAAATGTGATCACAAGGGGGATACGATATGAGATGTTTCAAAAGCAGAAACATTTTATAGGCCATAAAGCCTCTGTTTCAGACCTGGGATAATTTTAAAGTCTAAAAAAACCAGTCGTAAGTCTTGGATTTACCTGTACTATACATTAACTATGGAAAACAATTCTGCATTCATTTGTAAATGAACATATCTGTCCACCATTGTGCTCAATCACAAAACTTGAGTTTGCAGAGGAGAATCATTTTAAACTGCTTCCAACTACTCCCAATTCTTCACCTTTAGTCTCTCAAAGCATATGCCATCGCATCTATACTATTCTATCTTCATAGTTATTTTTCTGAGCAGATTTCCAAACAAAGCAGTAGATAGAAACAGCTACCATATTTACTTTGCAAGAATGGCTTCAAGGCTTTACAGAAGACATTTTTAAAGTTACAGATAATTCTGGAGGTTGGTGCTGAACTTTGAGTATGCCATTTCTTATTTAAAATTGTTTAGAAAAAAACAAACACTGAAGCAGGAAGGTTTGCACACATCAAAGAAGGTTTTGTGGACAGATTTGAAAATAATTTGTTTTAGTTAATTTCTGTTTCTTTATACTTAATGTACTAGTTGAGGTTGTTTTTTTTATTCTTGGAATTCTGGTAGTTCCAATTTTATCTTCACATAGTCTTTAGTATGTGGGAAAATAGATTACCTCAGAAGAAATTTAAATTGATGTCCTTTTAGCATTCATTTCTGTGCCTGCAATTACTTAAGCAGGAGAGCTTTCAGAAACATTTTTATCAATATAACTTACAGATAGCCATTTGTATTTATAAACCCTGCATTTGGCACCTACTGTTCTCTGCAGTATTGTGGTGAGCAGGGGGTTGAAGGTAGCAGGCAATGAAATTATTGGGTTGCTCAGCTCTATGGGGATTAATGAAGTGGCAAAAAGCTTGCTGTGCTTTCAGGCAATTGCAAAAAGAAAAAAAGAGATAGTAACCTTAAAATATTTTGAATGTGTGAAATAGGGTTAATATGAATTAAGTAAGATTCATATTTTTTTTGTTTAGATTTTGAGCTAATCTCTTGAATTTAGGGTAAAGCCTAATTCTGCTTAAGTTATGGAATAGTCTTGCAAGGGAAGTACTCAATTTCTTCTATTTGCCTGCTTTTAAATAACTTTTAAATTAAAAGCCATATTGAGATATAAAGAATGTTGGCTTAATTTACCTGACAATGTTTAAAGACAGTCATCCTTAAATTTGCTCTTTATCTTGGCACCTTAGCACGCACTGTATTTTATTATTTCAATCCTTTTTAATTGAGCCTAGTCTAGGCTTAATTATATATGTGCCAGCTACTATACTTCTTATGATGATCATGGGATTGACTATGAACTGAGATGATTTGATGATTTTGATATCTAATCTTTATATGGCATTTTAAGTTGGATCTTATGCTATCTAAGGTGCATTGTTTAATATTGCTTAAAATGTGATATATCATTTCAGTGTTCCTGGTAAACTCAAGCAATTTGTACTAGATTTGCACTCTGGAAAATTGCACAGAGAGTTTCATCATGGTCCGGATCCAACAGATGTAGCACCTGGTCAGGTAAGAAAGAAAGCATTCCAGTACATCTACATTAAGAGAAAATTGGAATTTTGCAATGTGCAAGTAAAGTTTTCATTTTTCCAAGAAAGCTTGATAAATTTCAAAAATAAAACAGGATAAGTTTAGGCAGTTCAGGAAAGAATGTTAGTACAGCCTGTAGTACTTTCAAGTATGGGTGGGCTTGCCTGTAGAACCTGGCATCCATTTTCTAAAGCAACCATATATTTTCCCTGCTGTGGGAAAACAGCTCCTTTAAAGAGTTATTGAGAGATACTACATGAAGAACTTCAAGTTCTTTAAACTTTTTTAGGTTTCAAGTCTAAAACATTGCACAGCCTATAATAATTAAGGGTAATTAATTGTTTGCTTTTTTCAAGATTTGAAATAATTCTTGATATATTCCAATGCAACTTCGATTCCTGATAGGATTTAACTTTCATGTCAGCAGATTCTTCCAATAATACCGCCAATCACAATCTTCCTTTATCTTCTTCCTTGATTTTTTTACCGGAGAAAAAATTACTACTATTTTGAAACCTTCAGTTTACCTCATAAAATTATAGGTCTCAATATATATAGATTAGGGATTTGGATTTGCCCCATCATCATCATTACAACCCTATCAAAGTGGCTGCTTTCATTTTTCATATGAATATAAGAACATCCTAATTGATGCTATATCCAAAGATGAATCTCAGTCTTTAATTTCATTTTAATTGTTAATTATTTATGATGAGACTTGGAAATACTTAAACATGAAGTTTTGCAGAAAATGAAAATGTTTAGTTTATTTCTGTCCTGAGTCAAAATAGTTAAAGCTCTTTAATTTTTAAAAACAGTAATAACTAGCATGATAAAAAAAAATCAGAAAACAACCTGTGAGAAAGCATTAAGCAATTGTCCAAGAGAACCAGTCTAGTGTTCAGACATTGGACTTGAACTATGGAAACTATTTCAAGTCCATACTTAATGGCATAATTCACTGTAGGATTTTGAGCCAGTCAGTAATTTTTAAGTCAGTTTTACATCACTGATGTAAAGAAAAATTGGAGAAAGAAATATATTTATGTCATTTTGAACTCATGGAGGAACAACATACAGTACATGCATCTAACATATTTTTTAAATACTGTCTGTTGATTCCTATTAGATCTTCCTGCCTTTTTGCCAGAACAAAATCTCTTTCTCCTCAGAGATGTGGTTCTAGCTCTCCGCTTAGGTTTCAAAACAACTAGCTTTCTATTTTATTGCTTTGTCCTCATTGCTTGTCAAAGCTCTAAAATGGAAAACAAAAATGTGTACTGGCAATCCATATCTAGTCAATTAAAAGCTAATAGTGTTTTAAGACAACATCAGGATCAGTCTTCCAAATAGCCTCATTCTACTTATTTTTCTTCCACCTGGGCTTAAGGAGTTCTTCGGAGCCCAATTGATATAGCATCTCAGGAAACCTATTCGCACTAGTTGTAACCACCATCACAAAATGTCCAATTAGTAACTCTGAGTGCCAGCAAACACCAGACTTGATTTATCAGAGAGCTGATTTGTCAGATCCTTACCTGAGATAAGTCATGCTGAGCAGCACTGTATTCTGAAAATAGAGGGTATGCTTGAATGTCCTATGGGTAGAAATGTAAGGTTTTAATTGAAATAATAAACATACAGGTAATCCTTGGGTTATGCGTGTTCCCTTAGCGAATGTTAGAAGTTATGCGATAAGCGCCCCCAATGTTTACGAACAAGTCCCGAAATTACAAATGTTGCAGCATCACGGCAGCTGTTTACCCTTACGAATAAATGCACAGGCTCTGCAACATTCACCCTGCCTATTCACACACTCCCCCGGGTGGGTCTTCACAGGCATTCCACCTGTGGAGACTCATTTAATCTTGAGAAGATCTCCTCTCTGTCGCAGTTTTTTGCCTGCTTCATTGCTTCAGGCTTTTGGTGCATTCGCAGAAAATAGAGGCATAATGTACCACGAGATCAGTAGCACAAAATCTTGTGCTACTGATCTTGCGTGATCTCGCATTTTAGGTCTCTATTCTCTGCAAATTGAGGCCTGGACACTTGCAAACAGAGGGAAGGCTTCAGTCCTTCAGGCGTTCCCTCCTTTTGCCGCTTCCTTACTGAAGTCTGCAGGGAGATTGCATTCCTGTAGGCTTCAGCAGCCCCTTGCAAAAAGCCTTTGTCAGCACCAGTGAAGCTTGGGACGGTTGGATGTCTCCCTCTGAAGCTCTGTTTCTACCGGCAAAGGCTTTTTGGAAAAGGCTGACAAAGCTTACAGGGATGCAATCCTCAAGCGCTTTGGCAGTGAGAAAGACCCGGAAGAGTGCACGCGGCCCTCCGGGTCTCCTTTTTTATCGTCAAAGCCGTCCTCGTGTGGTTCAGTAGTGAAAAAGGCACCAAAGGGCACACGTGGTCCTCCAGACCCTCCTTTTTCGTCACTGAAGCCATCCTCAAACAGTTCGGTGGCAAGAAAGGAGGCCCCGTAAAACCATGCATGCTCTTCTGAGCCTTCTTTCTTGCCCCTGACCTGATTGAGGAAGGCTTTGGCGACGAAAAGGAGGGAGCAGGCAAAGAAACCGGCTGGAGATTGACATCATCAGATAAGTGACCTGGTGCAGCGAGGGGGGGGGAGCAATTGTGGGGATCCCAGGGGAGGGAGAATAAAGTATTTGTGGGTCAGGAGAGCCTTGGTGGTCTGAAGCAGGTGGCCTGTTCCATCACTAGGTCTTCCCTACCCCGAGATACTTCACGTGCACTTAACAAGCCGCCCATTTGATTAGCAAATGCATGGAAGCGAAAGGAGGAAGTGATTGCTTTCAAGATATGAGATTTAGTCCTACAAATCTTCGGGTTATGAATGGAATGGACAGGCTCCATTACATTCATAACTCAAAGACAACCTGTATAACAAACCGGATGGGGTGTTTTGTTTTTTTATTCTTTTGCTCTAGTTTCTTTTTCTACTTATCTGTATGTCATGTTAGCTGTTTAGCATCCACCTGGATTTCAAGAAGATGGATGTTAATAAACTCAGAGCAATGTTAAATTGGATTCCATGACAGGAGAAGCTAATGGGGAAAAATAAAAACAGCACAAGAAACTCATGCTGGTCACATAAAAAGTTCAGTGAAATCTGAAAACAAAAAGGGAACTCAGGGAATTAGGAAGGAAAAGTTAGCAAGTGGTGTCAGAAAAGCTAAAAGGATATCTATATCTTTTATTTTGAATATCCAGAATATTCAAAATAAAAGAAATTTAAAGATGCGGGATACCATCTGCCCAGTGAATAAGATAAAAGACCAACTGGAAAAAAAGAAAGGATAGTATTAATCAAGCCCTATTTTGGTTCTGTCTTCTCAAAGAAGAGGGCATTTATTCCATGAGGCAGTTGTAAAGAATATGATTGAAATTTGTACTTTTATGTCATTGTTATGTCTCTTGGATGTGTGGCAATATAAACATCCTGCAGAAAAAGAATATGCCTACTACTCTTCAGTTCATTAAACTAATGGGATGATAGACATGTGCTGGATTTCTAATTCATTGTTAATCAACTTTATAGACCTGGATGTGGCAGCTCTTACTTACATGGATAATAATCCAACAGTTGTAAGGAAGCAGACAAACTCGTAGATCAAATAACTGGAGACTTAATGACTTATTATTACAAGAGGATATTAAACTAATTATTACCAGTAATTAAAGAATTTACAAAACAAATTAATTTGTTATGTATTGCATCCCCTTTTTGTTCAAGTTGAATAAAATGTCATTGGACACTTTATGAAATTGCATTTCAGGTTTGCCTGTGATAAAATGGTGTAGTAAGTGTTTTTTGTGCTATCTATTTTAAGGGTTAAGTCCAAGTCCAGGTCTAGTTATTAGCCTTTTGCACTATCTACCATATGGCTATGGTAGTCTGAGTCCACTGTACAGCTATACTTGGATCTGTTACACCTACTCAGAACTGAGTCAGTAGTAAGTTTGAATGTTTCATTGTCAAATGTTCTCTGTTCAAAACAAGCATGGTAGTACACTTGTTTCAGAACAAATTCAGGAAAGGTTTTTTTTCCCCCCAAGACTACCTTGAAAGTACAGAAAAGAGCTTTTGTAAAGATGAACACCTTTTGTGTTTAAATGGGATTTACATACTTTCTCTGAAACTCTTTCTGCATCCTGCTATCTTGAGTATTATATGTAGCAGGTAATGTAGGAAGCATCAGAGAAGGTGACTTGCCTGAGACAAGAATTATTTGGACTAGTTTACACTTAGCAATATTATTATTTTGGTACCATAACATTGGAACTGTGTCTGAATCTTTTATTACATGTTTATCACTTGCTCTAGAAGATTGTTTTATTCTTTTCAGCCACTCCAGGACATAGTAAGCAGCCCACCAGAGAGTTCATTTCAGAAGTTAGCACCTAGTGGACATAGGTACACCTTATTGCGGGAAAAAGATGAACTCTGAAGACTTGAAAACGACATTCAGTCAGCAGTTGTAACTCCTGTGGGGTGAAAATAGGAAACCTATATTTTCTTAAATTCTGTTTGTTTTATTTTGAATAATATCTTGTTTTTCTGTGCTCCCTGGGGTTTGTAAATAATGTGTGGGCCACTTTTGGACAGCAGCTTTCCAAAGTTTTTCTTGCTGCAAATTGATGTAAAACTTTTCTAAACAAATGAAAGTGTTGTCAATACCAGCAACATGCTGTTAACTTGCACTATCCAATTAAACAGGACTTCTAGTTTGTCATTGGTGTAATCTGGTGGTATGATTGTCTTATCTTTTTCCTCAAGTGAACATAATTTTGTTAATTTGTTATTGAAGGAATATCCTGAATACTTGGGTGGAGAATAAATTGCAATTTTACAGAATTTGTGTGATGCTACCTCACTTACTTTTACCATATAATTCATTTTAAAGTGGGAATGAAATGGAAAAAGTGTTCAGTGGGGCTCATTCTCATTTGTTGAAGTATTTGTGGCAATGATGGAAAATTGTTAAACACACATCTTTTAGCTTAAAAAGCAAAATCCCAATAAATAGATTTTGGGGGAGTCCCTCCTCACATCCCTTTTATTAGAATTGTGCATTTATTTCTTTTTAAGCAGTTATTAACCTTACCTAATGTTCTCTTATCCCATGATTCTAATTATGAATACTCATATGTTGATGAAGTAATAATTAATAGAAATACCACTGTCTGCAAAAACAACATTTTTGTCATTTATAAATAGATGCATAATAACATTTTAATGTTCAAAACATTTTTGAGACTATAATAGAAAACATTAGAAAAAAATAACTAGAGGGATCTTTTTAAAAGATCTGATCCAGAAGATGGCAGCATGTGGCCAATCTTGAAAAATGATCTTGTTAATATTTGAATGGTAGACCACCAAGAAATTCCAAGGCTATATTTAGTCTGAGAAGTTGGAAAATACAAGTGGAAGAAAACAATTTCAATATTATCATATTGTTACCAAGAAAAATATGTGGTAATAGAATCACACTCAATTTAAAAATAGTTTTAAATATAATGATTTTGTTATCGGATCCTTGGTGTGCTCTGAGCTTGGTTGTTTCTTTGCAGACATTTCATTACCCATCTAGGTAACATCATTAGTGCTAGTGAATATGAGGAATGTGAATGGAATATGGCAAACCTACTCTTGTCTACAGGCAAACAACAAGAGCACTAAGGACCTTACAGTTCAGTCTTATGCTACATATATTCTATTCTGTTATTGTTATATTAATTACTTGTTTAATAAAATTTTGAATCTTCAGAATCAACTTTATTTAGAACAAAATTACAGTTATGATAATATAACTGTATATCAGTATGTTTGCAGTATTGGGTAAAACCTTGGTGATAAGGCAGAGGCTGATCAGAATTTCTAAAAATAAAAGAATCTTGAGGTTTTTAAAGAGTGTGCAAAGTACTGAAACTTTAGTATGTAATCCTGAAACACAGTCCTAATTTATACTATACAATCAACAAATTTCTAAGTTTCTTCCTATTTTCAAGATCAGAGTGTTGTCCTAGAATACATGAAATTACTGTATTTCCTTCACAATTAAATAGATTTGAACTATTGATAGTTGTGGATTTCCATAACACAGGGCCAAAGTGCTGCCCCTTAATACAGATTATGTTTTCAAATAAATCAGTTTCATTCTAATATTTTGAATTGACATATTTCTTCAATTACAGCATGCTTACTTGTTGTACCAGTGTTCATGTGTTAAAATGTATGATAATAAATAGTTATTAGCATTTTTCAACCATTTCCTTCATGCAAACTGTTAAATATCAAATAATTTTGAAAAACATAATGCTTGCTCAGTAGGCAACACTGCAATTACCAGTGCCACTGTGTGCATGCTCCAAATGATGTCTATGGGACACCCAGATTTTTAAAAATTCAAATTTTAGCCTTTTAAAATATTTTTTAGTTTTGATTCCTGTATCGCAGACTGTAACTCACAAGTTGTGAACTACTAAAATCCATGCAGCTAACTATTGAATAAAAAAGGAAAAAGTTGGACTTTGGAAACCTTTCTTTTTTCCCCCAAGAGATCACAATGTTTCTTTGTTATACATCTGCTTAAAAAAGTGAGCAATAAGCTTTTCATTTAATATTAATATAAAAAACAGAATAAAGAACAGTCTGGTGAATAAGTGGCGTACATCATTTATTTACGTGTTTGTAAATAAATATATGCAAAATCATACATTTTGCCTAATATTTATATTCTATTTTGTCTTAACATGATATCATAGCCTAGTTGGTTAACTGCATTTAGTTTCGTCTTCTGCCCTTGAAATTACCTCTTCCACTTTGCAACAGAGCTATATTTTTCATACCAGAGTTTTTATGTTGAAAAATACCGATGTTTTCAAATGGTAAATGACAGTGGGTATCTAACTTCGATCTCCAAATAATTTTTATTTAGGCTGTCCTAGCTATCTCAAAGGTGCTTTTTCAGTTGTGATGAAAACTGATGAAGCTTCTTGGATGACAAGCAAAATATTTTGTTCTTTTTCCTCAAGGAAAAAAACAATCCAGTTGCGTTTTGAAAAAGCATCTTTGAGACAATTATGACCTGGTTGATTGAGAATCTACACTGCCAGTATCGCTGGACCACTGTTGCCAGCAAATACCCCTGCAAATAGCTTATGGTAAAGGATGTTGGAATGTCTACTTCAGCACTACCCGAAGAGCTACAGATATCATACCCTTGATACATATTTGAATTGCAATATCTGACAACTGCATAAATATGAAAAACTTCAGCTTTGTTATAGATCAGGTCAATTAGTGAAGTTGTATATGTGTCAAATTCTAAATTCTGTGCCATCGAAGTTATATGACTTTCAAAAATACTACCCATGTAGATCATAAGTATCTACAATGGTCACACTAATTGAAACTGCATCTGTTTTTTTCCACATGGAAGTACATTGTACACTCACATATATGAACTTGTGTATATAATACATGCATGTGATTTATAATTTTGGGTGAGTTTTTATTCAAATTTATTCCTAGGCAAAGTTGGTCTAGGAGAGCAGTAAGTTCTGTTAATGGCAAGCTGATGGTTTTGTTTCAATTGCGAAAACTTAAATCGATCTCTCATTTGAAGTATTGTTAAAATATTTTAATTGCAAATACCGAAACAAATTTATTGAAGTTGGAATTTTTCTAAATATATAAGGAAGAATAATTATTTTGACTTTAAATAGGTATCTCATTCTCCATAGAATATTGCAAATGAATAGACAAATTTCATTGCATTTGCTGCATAATCTGTGCTGCCAAAGAATTCCATTAAAATAACAAACAGATCATAGTGATCCTCAGAATGCAGTGTGCTTCATCAACCCTTATGACATTAGAGTAAGAATGTGTTTATTTGGCAAGTAGTACTTCCTCAGATTCGACAAAACAAAATTTTCTTGGAGACATTTTCTTACTTAAGATCTCTCTCTCCCTCTCCTTCCCTCCCTCTCCCCCCCTTTTAATTGTTTATTTTTTTTATAAACTTGGAGTTTGCAGAGATTCCAAGTTTATCAAAGAAAACTTTGATAAGGAAAGAATACTTGGCAATATTCTAACTGTTAGGTTCCTTTTCTAAAGTTTAAGTAATAGCTTGTTTGGAGCCTGTTTCACATACAATGCTCCTTTGTAATGTAATTTATTTTTGACTTGACATGATGTATAAATCTATCTTAGATAAATAATGTGTATAAAAGCATGTTCTCTGATTATTTTAATTATGCAAACAGTACGAGATGGTTTGAAGCATAGATATTTGACTGCTAAAGGCTAGGTGCTGCTCTAAAGCAGAAGGGGACAGGCAGGGAGCTGCACATAGCCCAAAGCTCCTTTCTTGCAACTCCCACTTTCCCCAAAAAACTTATAGCTGCAAACTGCAACAAAACAGTAGTGTTATTTCTTATCATTTCTCAGCAGAGCAACAGAAAGTCAACAAAACCACTTTTTAAATCTTCAGTGACCAAGAATCAATTTCCAACTACATACAGTGGGTAGCATCACTCTGTCACTGCTCTGTCCACTCCAGTCTTAGCCTGTCTCACTTAGAAAAAGCATGTCCTGCAGAAAGAAATAAAAACAAACCTCTTCTTTGCTTGCATTGTAGGATTTTTAAAGGTGTATTCAATTGACATTTGACATCAACCACTCAGCTAAGTTTTCATTTTTTTGCCTAGTCCCGATCCATTAAAACAATGGAACAATTTCAAAGTGTACATATATATATTCAAAACAGTTTAAAAAGCGCAACATGAACATGATGTGAATTCAATGAATTGGATGCGGCTAACTTGGTGGAAGAATGTCAAAAGAAAACATTAAGGAAAATATTAAATCTCACTGCAATAATAAATCACTTAGAATACCATAGATGCCTTTTCTTTTTCTTTTTAAGCATATCTTGGAGAATACAGAATTCAGGTATAAAAGAATTCTTACATCTTAAGGCAGACTCTTTTCTATTACCTGAAAACAGATTTCTTGTTTGCACATATCTGCTAATTTATACCATTTTTATAATTAGCTTTAGTCTTTTGTAAGGTAAGAACATGCTGTCTTTCCTTTGCTGAAAGACACAGGCAGGGGGTATTCCAGAGCGACTCTTCACAATATACATGGGACCAGGAAAATAACAGAACAGGATAAAATTCACAAAAAAAAATTGAATTGAATACCAGTTGCCTTTAAATATAAGATTACTCCTCAGAGAAATTTTGGAGGGGTCAGGGAGCTCTGTTTCTAAGGGGAAGATATAGACCTATGGCTTGATAGCTCTTGGCTGCCAAGGAATAGAAATAAAAAGAGGACAAGGTTAGCGTAGCTTTTACTTTCTATTTGTATATTTGGACTGAAGATAATGTATTGTGTAAGGATCTCACCGCGATCTATATGTTGTTATATATTTTGTTTTCAAAGAAATAAATAAAATTATAAAAAGAAAGAAAGAAAGAAATAGGAGTAGGAGTAGGGTAGAGTAAAAATAAAATTAGGATAGGATAGAATACGAATAGAAAAGAATAGAAAAGAAAAGAAAAGAAAAGAAAAGAAAAGAAAAGAAAAGAAAAGAAATTATTTATTGGCCAAGTGTGATTGGACACACAAGGAATTTGTCTCCATACATAAGCTTTAAATGTACATTCAAACAACAAAGTTAGGTCATAGATCACAGTTACAATCAACCATATACAACAAGTGATAGAACCAATAGGAGAAGGTAGTAGGAAAGATGAGAAGAATATCAATACAGCCCTACTACATGAATAAATATCTTTAGGCCTAAGATAGTGCAGTGGGAATTAGGTGTTCATCATTAG